TAAATTAGTTTGATGTTGGGTAGGCCAACCTCTTAGCAGAATGCAACATTTTATATGCAACATGCCACTCAGAAGACTTTTCTCAAAAACATGGGCTGGGTGGTCTAAAGTAAGGATGACTTACTTCCTATCCCTAATTCCCTCTGTAAAGGGTTTGGCTACGCATTTCACCACAATGCCAAATTATTTCAGATTTGACTGAAAATTTCTTAAATTTAGATTTTTTAACAAAGAGAATTAAAGTCTTATAGAAAGAATAAGGTGTCACTAACACACAAAAATACTTATATTCAAAAGAAAAAACAAAACCCACTACACTTACATTTCAATTGAAACAAACATTATTTTAAAAACAACACGGTTTTCCAAGACAGCTCGCAACTCATATCATCAAACAAGGGAAGGAGGGAGACCCAGGAAATTACAGACAAAGAAGGTAACTTTTTAAAGTCTGCAGTGCTAGTTTGTGATTGAAAATTAAGTTTTGTACCTAAAGGAGGTTCAAGGATATACCCCTGCTGAGTTGTCCAGCCCACTGGATGGAGAAAGGGATCTAAATAGAACATCCATAAGTCATATTGTTCTATATCTCCAAGTCCTTCATAGCGCAGCCTGAGCCTTCCACCAATATTCTCCAGAACACTGACTATCCAAGCTCCTAGATAATCATTCAGGTGCTGACATTCGAGGCGTGACCCTGGTGCAATAAGATCCAAAGGATTTTTCCCTCGATGGAGCTGCAGAGAAAAAAGAGGAAAAAAATATTAAGGTGATCTGCCTATTCACCTATCCTGAAATATCCCATTATTTATTTATGTATCTACTTTATTCATCTTCTTACACATTTTCTGTCTTTGTATTGATATTATCATCTGTAATATGGCTATACTTGTAGTTAGGTTCACAGTTATTGTGAAAGAAGAGAGGATCTGCCATTTCTTACTGTCTTTGCTTTCTAGGCTTTTAGTCTGTTTGCTTTTAAGTAACATGGTTAGTGAGTTATAACATTTATTTCTGTTTAAGGGTATATTCCTTAATAGAAGTATATTGTCTGTTTAGAAATATGTGTGTTTCCCACCGATCCAGAATACTGATGGGTGGTTAGTCCTCCATTTTATATATTGTATACTCTTTCACAAGATGCCATTAGCTTCCCAAAGCAGCAAATAGCAGAGAACTGAGCAAATCAGTAAAGTAGATTAACTAATTAGCTCATAAAGCAAACTCTCAGTTCACTGAATCTAATGGTATGAGAAAACTCCTTTCTATATCTATGTCACCACATTTTCACTACGTACAAAAGCGAACAAAATAGAAGTGAAAGTCTAATTTTACAGACAAGAAAGGCTATTTGCAATAATGGAAAGGTTATTTTTGAAAGTTATCTAAAGAAAATCAAGATGAGCTTCTATAAAATATTCTTGAAAGACTGGCCACATTAAATACAAGACAAACATTATCTATATTATTATTATTCTCTGGTGGTTTTTAATCAAAGCCAGAGAAAAATTTAAATTTTCCTCCCATCAAACTATGAGTAGAAGGCTCATCTGAATCACTGCATTTTAATCTATCCACAATAGTCTCTTTTCATGACATCTGCAGTTTAGATTATCGTTGCCAGTTTCCTTTTAAAATGTGGATTTTATATTCCTGAATTATCTTTTCAAATTATGTTATCCTAAATTCTGGTTTCAGATTTGGCATCTCCAAGATTCATACATGTTCATATATAATCCAGATATTTACCTGCTAGCAGTTCAGACAAGCAAAAGGGTATTAATTCTATTATGCTATAACAATAGATTTCCCAATTCAAGATCTGCTTAGTGAGACTGGAATACATACAGTCCTCAACCTACTAATTCCTGTTATCTTTTCTGTCCAGATGCATTCATACAGAAGATGGTCACTGATCACTGGAGACCCCAAATCAACAATATGCTTTTTCCAGAGTGGAATTGTTCTCCCATTCCTATTGGCACATCCTGGTAGCCCAATCTGAGAGAAACTACTTGATCCTGTAGATGAAGTCAGGGCCACTGTGTATATACCCTGCACTGGGGTCTCAAACTGGCAATACTGTAGTTTTATATCAGCAGATATTCATTGGTGAACTGAATGAATCTACAGGTAATCCTCAATTAACAACCACTCATTCAACAACCGCTCAAAGTTACAACAGCACTGAACAAGTGGTACTTACAACCGGTCCTCAAAGTTCTGGCCGTCCCAACATCCCGGCAGTCCTGTGATTGCTATCTGGGTGCTTGGCAACTGGCTCGCACTTATCACAATTGCAGCGTTCTGTGGTCATGTGATCATCATTTGCAACCTTCCTTGCCGGCTTCCCACAAGCAAAGTCAATGGGGAACCCAGCAGAGAAGGTTGCAAGTCAGTCCACCACTTTTTCTCCTGAGGAGCTCTGCTACGGAGTATGAGATCCCTGGGATCTCATACACTGTAGCATGCACCTGGGCTGTGACACTTTCTCCCCTTCTCAGCCTGCATGCACTCGCCACCATACCCCCTGCCCTGGCTCACTCCATAGTACTCACCTGCCAGCCTGCCTGCTTGCGAGCTGCCCAGGATTTGCAACTTCCTGTGGCTTCCCCATTGAAGACATTAGGAAGTCACAAGTCACAGTCATGTGCGGTCCTCACTTAATGACCCATGATCCTCGCTTAATGATGTCAATGAGGACTGCTAGGATTGCCGTTGCTAAGCAATGCGGTCACATGATGTCACACTTTATGACCACATTGCTTAGTGATGGAAATTCTGGTCCCAAATACTGTTGTTAAGTGAGGACTACCTGTACAATAGACATGCCATCCCACTGATGGAGCAAAATCTCTCTCATATTAGTTTGCTACTAAAATATATTCCAGAAAGATGAAGATATAACAGAACTGGAGAAAAAAAGTTGTGTCACTAATAAAACAACAAGTGGCAATTATTAAGCTTTATTGAGGCAGACTCCTACAATCAGTACTGTAGACACCTACCCCTTCTAGAAGACCGGCAGGGACACTACATGCTCCTTTCAGAGTTTGCTGAAGGAATTCTACCTGGTTGGGAATTTTATCCTTGATGCCTAAAAAAAGAAAAAGTTGTCAATTAATATGCACTCTTGCTATCTTACAACCACCTTGATCAAAGTTATACTTATCCTGGGAAGGTCAAAAGCAAACCCACATGTCTGTTGTTAAACAGGTTTGCAATTTTTCGATTACTTAAGAGCATACATCTGAGTTTTATGACCATGATTCTAGAGTTCAAGGGTGGTGATTGAATCTAGAGTAAGAACAGGCACAGGAGCTCAATCATTTTGAACTAGAAACAAGATTGTCAATACCGATATTATTAAGTCCAACATGTATATTGATGAGATGCTAAAAGACAAATGGATTCACGTGCAGCTGGCTTTTAGGTATTATAGCAAAATACAGAATAGTGGATGCAAAAGCAATTCATGCAAAGCTATTCAAAATAGATGCTCTTGGAAAACCAAATGCAAAAATTTAGGGAAGAAGCCTGAACTGAACTTGAGCTCCAAACAACAAAATCTTATCACTTTACAGGCAGTTATTTTATAAGCTTATAGGACCCAAACTTTGTCCAATAGAAGATGGTTACCTTCAGGTAATTTGAGGGTCTTCTTGTTCTGCTCACACCAGCCAAGTGGATGCAAATCAGCTGTCATGATATCACACCAGAAATCAGCCTTGCGATCTTCCCCATAACCATCATATCGCAAAAGTAGTAACTGCCCACAAGTGGTAATGATTGTGGCAATCCAGTAAGTGTCAGGGCCAGGTTTGATAGCAACCTCTAATTTCATGCCTGGTGTAAAGCCATTTTGTGGGCTAGTATCCACCTTAAAAAAAAAAAATCAAGCAAACAATCTTGATACTGTAACATAATTTATTTATAAAATACTTGGCACAAGTCAGGAATTGCTGTTGAAAATAGGTCGATATGGAAGGTAATATATTAACATTTCTGGATTTGGTCAGTTAAAATAGTCAACAATGGAAAAAAACCTACAATAGGATTTGGATACAATTTTGAGGAAACAATAGTAATAACATAAGTCAGACCAGATTTTTTTTTTTCAGAATCAACAGGGCAATGTCTACAGAATTAGTTAATTCACAGCAATCAAGAAGAGCAGATTACAAAATTTAGTTTATAAAGCCCCTATTTCATGCTCCCAGATTGTGCTATTGAAATGCTTATTACCTATTTTGTACTTATAAACACAAAAAATGACATTTTCACCTTACCAAGAAACTCAAACAATAGAACCTTTACGTTAAAAAAAGAGCCCTGCCTTGATCCACAAGATGTGCTGCTAAGATCCAACAATAAATTATTTTAATTGTATCACACTGGTACCTATCATAATGAAGGCTAATTATCCACATGTAAGCAACTCAAACGCTTGAATTATATTTGTTTATGGAATGGGGATAGGGAGGGCATATCTTTTTCAATGCATTTATATCTTTGTCTCGGCATACATATGTACATACATATATGATTCCTCTAATAAGAACTGAGACACATTTTCATTCACATTCTTTTCTGCAGTACATAATTCTGACACTGAAAATTAACAAAAATCCTGAAAAATATTCTCTATACAAAGTGAATTCCAAATCACTACTGATCAAAACAACTGGGAATCCTTCCTACCTCTGTATTACAGTGGTACCTCGGGTCACGAACTTAATTCGTTCCGCGACTCTGGTCGCGACCCGAATTGGTTGTGACCCAAATCAAATTTTCCCATAAGGTTCAATGGAAATATGGTTAATCCGTTCTGACCCCTTTGAATTTGGTCGCCAACCGATTTTGGTCGCGACCCGAATCAAATTTTCCCATAAGGTTCAA